AAACCCTGTCTCGAAAAACCAAAAAAAAAAAAAAAAGAAAAAAGAAAAGAAAAAGAAAAGAAAACCAGGTCACACCTGGGTGACCTCTTTAACATGAGATCATACTTTGTAATCAATCACTTTGTACCCCATGTATGTATGCTGATTTGCGGTTTTTCCCCATAAAAGGAGCCTACAACCCTTGCTAGGTGTGCAGCTTTCCCCGATATTGCTGACACCTGAATGCACATTCATTCAATAAACTCTTTAGCTTTTGCAGCTCTTGGTCTCGTTTCTGAGTCTCGGGGGCTCCTCGAGATCCTGTGGCCCTTAGGGGTCTGGGGTTTTTCACTCTTAACCACTGAGCCATCCCTCCAGCCCTGGCCTTGGTCATTTGTAAGCTATATGTGTTGATGCCAATGTTGTCATATTTACAACTTAGCTCTACAGTTTCTCATCTTCTTGATATTTGTATGGTTTGACTATCATTTGAAAAATTTGAAGGTGCCTAACAGCTAAGAATTTACTAGGAGCATTTTGTGTTTTCTTTCATGGTGAATTTTCTTTTATGTCTACAATGTCAGCATTAGGTAAGTGATTTGTCAAGTTGAGTGCATTTGGGGGCTGGAACTTGTGTGGATAGTGAGAAATGCTGACAATATGTGATATGCATTTATAAGACTTCACAAAAGCATGTATGTTGTGATGCACGATAAAATTAGAGGGAAAACTAAAGGCTGTTTCACATTATTTTGGTACTACATTTTATCTTTATAACTTTCTGGAGGGGAGGCAGAGTTTATGTAGTCCTGCCTGTCCTGAAACTCACTATGTAGATCAGTCTGGCCTTGAATGCATAGACATCCCCCTACCCCTGTGTCCTGAACACTGGTATTCAAGGTGAGCACCACTTTTAATTGGGGTGACTCACTTATTTTTTTTCAGATTTTTTTTATTTGAATTAGAAACAAGATTTCTAATCCCAATTCCCTCTCTCTTCCCTCCTCCCCTACCCTCCCCCAACTAAAACCCTACCTATCACATATCCTTTCTGCTCCCCAGGGAGTGTGAGGCCTTCCATAGGGGGTCATCAGAGTCTATCATATCCTTTGGGATAGGGCCTAGGCCCACCCACATGTGTCTTGCCTCAGGGAGTATCCCGCTATGTGGAATGGGCTCCCAAAGTCCACACCTATGCTAGGGATAAATACTGATCTACTACAGGAGGTCCCATAGATTTTCGAGATCTCCTCACTGAAACCCACATTCCTGTGATCTGGATCCGTCCCATGCTGGTATCCTAGCTATCAGTCTGGGGACCAAGAGCTCCCCATTTTTCAGGTCAGCTGTTTCTGTGGGTTGCAGTGACTCATTTATAGTTCAGAGGTTTAGTCCATTATCATCATGGCGGGAAGCAAGGCAGCATTCAGAAAGACATGGTACTGGAGGTGAGAGTCCTTATATGTTGATCCTTTTACGTGTCAAAAGCTAGGTGCTCACATCAAGACATTACAAGGCAAAAATTGATTCATTGTCCGGCCATTTTTCAGTCTCCCATAGTAAGAGAATGAAAACAGCCCAGATTAAAGGCAGAGTAGTCTCTTTATACCAAGAAAGCAAGTGATTAAGAGTGGAATTTTGCAATTATTTTTATGGCCATGGAAAAAAATACATGTCATGGGTTGACGGTTGGAGTTAACAAACTACCAAATATCTCTTGATCAGTCAATTTATGATGTATAATTCACAATGTTATTGAGGAAAAACCACTCAAAAAAGTTAATCTCTAGCTAAGGACATGATCAAAATCTAATAGTGTTTAAGTAAAAAGAAAATAGAGTCAGCTGTCTTTAACAATCCAAAGGCAACAGGAAGGGAATAATCTCACGAAGTATGGCTTACACATATATGAGACCTCAAAGTCCACCTCCACAGTGACAGCCTTCCTCCAACAATGCTACACCTCTTAACCCACTATGGGGGCCATTTTCTTCAAACCACCTCTCCCTGGCCCCCAAAGACTTGTATCCATATCATAATGCAAAACCGCATTCAGTCTGACTTCAAATGACCCCAATCTATCACAGTCTCAACAATGTTTAAAAGTCGAAAGTTCAAAGCATCTTCTGAGAGATATGTAATCCCTTATAAAATCAAAAACCAATCCCATACTTGCAACATACGACGACTCAGGATACACATTACCATTCAAAAACGCAGGGAAGGGAGCATAGTGTGGCAATACTGGACCAAAGCTGAAGGGAAAACTAAACTCAAAGGCTTCACTTCTAATAATTAAGAGCCAGACCCTCACTCAGCCCCTGCTTTAGCAGCCATGACAGGCTACAGAAAAGACACATAGGCCTCCGACACAAGGAAACTCCAGGTCCTCTGTCCTCTTGGAGCCTAGGGCCAAAACTAAACACAAAGACCCTCCCATCCCCAGCCTCCTAGGTACTTGGTTCCTGGGAACTGTTTGGACACAAAAGAAACTCCAAACCTCCCCTATAGTCTCCATAATACAGTTCTAAAAACTATTGGTATCTATGAACAATAGACCACCTGCAAGTAACATGATAAAGCCAAAGAAATCACAGAATGTTCCCTCTCAGCACTGACCAATGAGAATAGCTGGTACACAGGTATTTCATGCCAAAATATGACTTTGAGAAATTTCTTGTTTCCCAAATGTCAACCAATCGGAAATCAACCCATACCTACTGATGTAATCCTGTAACTTTTGTCTTTAAAACCTAGCAATAGACAGGGAACTTTACCCCCTCTGGGGGCTGCTGTGTCAGCTTGCTAGATGGGGTCCCAACCACGGTGTAGGATAAACAATTTAATAAACCTCATCCATTTGAATCGGTGGTCTGTCTCCCTGGTCTCTATGGGGATCCTTGTGACTCGGCACAACAAAAGCAAAACCAAAAACCAGATGGGCAAACTCCAAAGTGTGCGTTTCCAGGTCTGATGTCAAAATGCTCTTCAGAGCTCCAACTCCCTTCAGTTCTGTTGATTGCAACACATTCTTTTACTTGGAGTAGTTACACTCCCTGTTTCCAGTTCTCCTCAGCAGATATCCCATGACGCTAGTGTCTATAACATCTTGGGGTCTCCAAGGCAATCCAGGCTTCTTCACAATTTCACTCAATGACCTCTCTGGGCCTGAATCAGGGACACACACCTGACACATGCCTGGCCTCATCAGCTTTCCTCAGTTGAGGAGGAAGGTTCCACAACACCTTTTTCTATCCTTGAAGCCAGAGCTATGAGTCTGAAGCTGCCAAGTTATCTTCCTTACTGGGGATAGAACATGGCCCCATCTTTCAATTATATCTTCACCAGCATTTGTTTTCAATAGTTTTCTTTCACTGCCTAAGGGTGGCTGTTCTAGAACCTGCTCTGTAGACCAGGCTGGCCTCAACCTCAAAGAGCTGCCTGCCTCTGCCTTCCCAGTGCTGGGATTAAAGGCATGTATTACCACACTTGGCTCTAAGCTTTTCTTTAATCCCTTTTCACAAATTGGAAGCTTATCTGGGTGGGATCTTGTCCTTAGGCCACCACTCCCTTTGTTCCATTTCTTAATCTGTTTATCTCCTTGAACACAAAACTTAACTCCATTCTTGGTGCTCCATTTGTCCTCAAATTGTTCTAGGCCTTCTGTTTGTTTTCTGGCTCACCATTCTCCTTTTCTTTATAAATCTTTACATTAGCATTTTCAGTAATAACACAGGACAGAGCCTATACTAGGCTGTTTAGTGATTTCTTCAGCCAATGAAATTAATCCAAAATTCTTCCCTTTAGCCTCAGATAGACCCATTGGACGAGCGCAAAAGGCAGCTACATTCTTCATCAAAATATCAGAAGAACGATGTCTAGGCAACATAGTCACATTCTTCTCCACCGAATCCTCTTGATCTAGGAACCAACAGCTCAAACCACTCAGTACCACTATCATCCATGCTAGTACTAGGATGCCCCCCTAATCAGCACTGAAAATAGATAGCTACTCTTGTAATCCACAGTCCTAAAGTCTATATTCCTTCAAATAAAAGCACAGTTCCACCTCTCCCAACAATGCTGCAGTCACTGGTACCAGCTTCTGTCTTTGTTAGGGTTTCTGTTGCTGTTAAGAGATACTATAGACATAGCAACTCTCCTGCCACCCCCCCAAGAGAAAGTTTCTCTGTAACTTTGGAGCCTGTCCTGGATCTCAATCGAGCCTGTCCTTTAACCCAGAGATCCACCTGTCTCTGCCTCCCTAGTGCTGGGATTAAAGGCTTTTGGCACCACTGCCCTGTGACCATGGTGACTCTCACAAAGGAAAATATTTAATAGGGACAGCTCGCTTATAGTTCAGAGGTTAAGTCCATTATTGTCGTGGTGGGTAGCAAGACACGATGCTGGAGCTTAGATTCTTTATATCTTACTTCGAAGGCAACAGCAAGTGGACTCATGCTGGGTGGGATCCTGAGTATATATGAAACCTCAAAGCCCACCTCCACAGTGATACACTTCCTGAAAAAAAGCCATACCTCCTAATAGTGTCATTCCCATGCTTGGTACTATTATGAAATTTAATATATTGAACAAGATAAATGTTTTTATTCTAGCTTTTCCCAGGTGATTATGGAGATGGCTTAGTGGTTAAGAGCATTGGCTGCTCTACCAAAAAAAAAAATAGGTTTCAATTGCCAATACACACATAGCAGCTTACAGCTGCATATAACTCCAGCTGCAATAGATTTGAAGGACTCCACAGGCAGAAAGCAGACATATAATGTACAGTCATACATACAAAGTACCTAGGCATTTAAAAAAAAGCTTTTCACACACTTACAGAATTTTAATTTAATATAAACTCTGTGATATATTTCTAAAGTTTAAAGCTTCTTTAAAGGCTGTTACAGGTTTCTAATGTTTATGTTTCTATTATGTATACTCTTGTGATTTGTCAGCATAGAATACCAGATAAATGCCATGGCATCTTATTTACAACAGTATTTTTCTCTTCAGCATGAATTTTCTGATGTGCTTGTAGAGTTGAGCACTTAGTAAAAGATTTGACACATTCCTTATATATTCAAGGTGTCTCTTGAGTATGAACACTGTAATGTTCTCTAAGATTCGCATACTGGCTAAAGGATTTGCCACATTTCTTGCATTTGTAACGTTTCTCTCCAGTATGAATTTTCTGATGTACTTTCAGATATGTGGTGCTGGTATAAAATTTGCCACATTCCTTACATGAGTAAGGTCTTTCTTTAGGATGAACTCGTTGATGTTTTCTCAGATTTGAATACTGGCTAAAGGATATGCCACAGGCTTCGCATTTGTAAGTTTTCTCTCCAGTATGGATTTTCTGATGTTCCCTAACAGATGAATACTTACAAAAAGATTTGCCACATTCCGTACATCTGTAAGGTTTCTCTCCAGTATGAACTCTCTGATGTCTTTGAAGATGTGCGTTCCGGGTAAAGGATTTGTCACATTCCATACATTTGTATGGTTTCTCCCCAGTATGTGTTTTCTGATGTACTTTAAGATTTGAGCTCACGTTAAAGGATTTGTCACATACAGCACATTTGTAAGGCTTTTCTCCAGTATGAACTCTCTGATGTCTTACAAAACTTAAGCACCAGTTGAAGGATTTCTCACAAACATTGCACTTGTAGGGCTTCTCTCCAGTATGAATTCGATGATGTTGTTTAAGCATTGGAGACGTATAAAAAGATTTGTCACATACCTTACATCTGTAAGGTCTTGCTCCAGTATGAATTCTCTGATGTCGACTGAGGTTTGAGGTAGTCTTGAAGCATTCCCCACATTTCCCACACTGGTGTGGTTTTTTTCCTATATAGATTGTTTGTTGCATGAAACCATATGTAGAGCTGAGGGAGTCATCATATTTTCTCTGTCTCTGTACTTTCTTTGTAGTGTAGACTCTCTGATCTTGAGTAATGTCGGAGCACAAATTTAGAGACTTCTCACAGTCTTTAGATATGCAAGGTTCTTCTCCAGTGTGCATGCTTTCATGTCTGTCTGGGTTTGATGAGTCAGCAGAGGCATCCCTGTGATTACTGCATGTGTAGTTATCAGAGTTTTCTGCAATTTCACTTGTTCTATAAAGCGCACATGTGGAGGGGTCATGAAGCACTTTCCCAAGCTCATTACACTGACAAGACTCCTTTTCAGTCTTCACATGGCGATGGACAGGATCACACTTGTAATAGTTCTCTGAAATTGAGTACAGTTCAGATTAATAGGGCTTGTTCCAATAATAAACATGTGATAAATGACTGTCTTCCTAAGTTCTCTGTTAAGGTAAATAAACCAACAACTATTCAGAAGAGTTCCTAGTATCCGACCTTGTTCTTTCACTATAATTATATGGATTCTCACAAAAAATACTAACAGCCTTTGAGGAAGATGAAACTAATGATTGAGGGATCAGTAATTAGCTGAGGGATGGAGTTCCATCACTGATTATATTTGGAATATGTTTCTATTTTTATATTTTTTCTCAGAATTCAATGGAGAAGAGTTTAATGAGTTTAAGAATAGAGGCCTACTTAGAAACCAACAAAAAGTTCTTTCCTACTGAAAGATTTTAGTTCACAGAGAGAAAGTTTCCCATAGGCCTTGGCCCATTACAAGGAAGCTGGCACCAACCCAGGGCACATTCTATGGTTTAGACGGGGGCAATCGCCAAAGCAACCCTCTTTGGGTCACACCTGGCTGGCCAACAGACAATCGGTAACATTCTAGGGTACATTCTGTGGTTTTTCCTTTGTAGAAAAGCAGGTCATACCTGGGTAACCACTCTAACATGAGTTCATACTTGGTAATCAATCACTTTGTGCCCCTTGCCTGTGTGCTGATCTGTGTTTTTTTCCTATATAAGGAGCTTGCACCCCATGCAGGGGTGTGCAGCTTTCCCGATATTGCTGACACCGAAATGCACATTCATTCAATAAACCCTCTTGCTTTTGCAGCTCTTGGTCTGGTTTCTGAGTCTCGGGGGCTCCTCAGGATCCTGAGGCCCTTAGGGGTCTGGGGGTCTTTCACTACTACCAAATTTTCCGTGTCTCCTCTTATTTCATGACAGTTTAACAGAGAGTTCACCAACTATGAAGTCATTCCACACAATGCCTGAGGAATTCAACAAGCAAACTGTTCTCACCCACATAGGCCAGGTTGCTGTAATTCTCCAACATCACATCAATGCACAAAGCCCTCTGAGCAGAGTCCAGGCATTGCCACTCCTCCCGGGAGAAGTTCACAGCTACATCAAAGAATGTCAACACACCCTGAAACACAAAAGTACAATTTTACTGGACAGAATTCCTTTTTTAGATATAAGGAGATTTAAGGAATTAGGGATGCAAAGGAGTGAAGACCATTACTCAAAACGATGAGTTCCAACATAGTCACACTCTATAATGAATGTTTTAACGCTGTGAAAACAGGATGACACAATAGTCTTACAAGCAATGTACATGACATAAGTAACACATTTAAGGCCTGGACATGGTTACTCTTCATGGATGCTGTGTGTGTGTCATACAGGATAAGAGTGTATGTGTCTCAGAAGAAAAATCTGCGATGAGGAAATATGCTTTTAAATACTGTACCGACAGATAATGCTACAATGGATCAAACCTAACTGAGAACCAGACACAGAGAAACAGAGAATGCAGGTTAGAGCCATTGAATAGGAGTGGGCAAGAACTTGTTGAATAGAAAAGATATCAACAGATGGGACTACATGAAAATAAAGAGTTTCTGTTTCAATGGAAACAACCAGCAGAGCACACAGACACCCACAGAGTGGGAGAGAATCTGTACCAGTGACACTTTGGATAGGGGCTAATAGCTAGAATTAACCAAGAATTACAGAAATTAAATAGCATGGAAATAAAACTGCCAATCAACAAATGGGCCAATGAAATGGATAGATACTTTCCAAAGAAAGAGACAAATGGCCAATAAATGTTGCAAAAAGTGTTCAGGATACCTAAAATGCCACCATGGAAATAGAAACAAAAATTACTTTGCCATACTGCCTCACCCCAGGCAGAATGGCAGTCATCAACCAAGCTGACAACAAATATTAGAGAGGATGTGACAAGAAAGGAACCCTTATAAATCATTGTTTTGTGTGTGTGTGTGTGTGTGTGTGTGTGTGTGTGTGTGTGCATTTGGGGTGCAAATTAATATACGCAAATGGAAATCAGTTTGAAGACTATTAAAAACTTAAAGTGAGATCTAAAAATCCCTCGCCTTTCACTCCTGGGCATATTATCATAAAACTTCACAACCCACTGCAGAGATATGTAACCCTGTCCCCCATGTTTACTGTTGCCTGCTCACTGTTGCAAAGTATTGGGAACATGCCCATCAACAGATGAATAAATAATGAAAATGGTATACATATAAAATGCAACACTGGTTAGCCAAAGAGAAAACAATATAAAAAAGTGGAGGGAAATGTATGGGTTTATTTAGAATATGTAATATTAAGTGAGTTCACAGGGTGTCAGAAGAAATCACCTTTTCCCTCAGAGGCAGAATCTAGCCCAATGATATGTTTATGGAAACAACATACACGTTGGGATAGCAGAAAATGGGCAAGAAAGAACAAGAAAGGTAAAATACCAGGGGTTGAAGAAGAACTGAAAGCCAATAATGAACACCAGTTATGAAAAAGAATATAAAACTAATTGCTTTTCCTGCTCTAATTCTGTCACGTTTTTGGTTTTGGTAGTAGATAATCACAACAAAAGATATTCTAGAGTGAAAAACCACATGAGGTTCCAGAGCTTCTGTTCCCAGTGACTAACTGTATTTTAACTGTATAAAAGTTGTATAGTCTTTGGGTCTGGTTGACTTCAGTGAATTTTTTGGTGTTTGCTATGTTTTTAAATAATAAATTTAAAAAAAAAACACAGCAGCAGCAGGAAATTAAGGGCTTTCAACATCTCAAAATATAAAATTTCTAGAAAAATAATTGACAGGACCAATGACCTGGGACACATGTTCTGGAGAATCAGCCATTTCTTGTTTCTCTTCTTTGAATTTCTCTTTCAGGAACACTAGGTGTCTTGATGAATAGACTGCTTGCCGCCCTTTCATATAAAGGAGTCAAAAAGGAAAAAAGCAAAAATTAGTAAGGAAAGCTGTTAAATAAATAACAATGTCAAACCATATCTAAATACCCAAAAAGCAGAATAGTACCATGTATCTGGTCAGTTTTCCCAAAGCCAAGGGAGCATGGAACCAAATTTAAAGCTAATGAATAAAAATCACTGCCAACCATACATATTGTTGCACCCAGAATAATATTATCTTAAATTTGATTGAGACGTAAGTGGATTTGAAGAGTGTCATGAATTTACATTGTACAGTTCATTTCACAAAAGCAGCAAGCACCTAATAAATTTGAGGAAATATATACATAGGAGAATCAGAGGAATTATCCATGAAAACACGGGAAATAATTTCATGTGAAGAATAGATAAATACAGGAGAAATGAGAAGCAATCAAATCATACATGGCAAGATTGCAAATCACTAATTCTCACACAGAAGGAAAAATAAAATACTCTCAGTAGTCCAACGAGCAACAATATCAAAAGCAAACGCATAAGGAATAAAAACTCTAAGAACAAAATAAATCTGGCCATTCTGGAATCTCCAGTTAAATAAGCAAATCCATAAGTTTAATAAATTGAGTACATGACCCAGCTGTTCCACTCCTTGGCATATTCTAAAAGGATTCACCATCCTACCCCACAGATACTTGATTAGTTTCGTTCACTGTTGCTCTACTCACAATAGCTACAAAAAGGGAAACAACCTAAATGTCCTTCAGGTGAAAACGGACTGTGAAAATGTGGTATATTTAACTTGTGGCATATGATTCAGTTGTAAAGAAAACCAAACTTGTGAGCATTACGAGTAACTAAAAGGATGTAGAAAAGAACATTGAGTGAGGTGTCCCTGTCCAAGGATGTTCTCAGAGGAAGTTCCTAGCTCCAAATCTACAGATGTGAATACACAATCTGCAGTAACTGCAGTAATGAAAAGAGGAAAAGGAGACCATGGTAGGGTATGCAAAGTAGTAGAAATGGGAGTAACAGGTAACACAAGATTTGATGTGGGAAGAAAAAAATGGGGAGGGATGGAGAAGAGACAGATAGAACCACAGAAGAAAGCAAAACAGTAACGATATCTACGTCAAAAAAAAAGAAAAGAAAAGGAAAGAAAAGAAAAGAAAAGAAAAGAAAAGAAAAGAAAAGAAAAGGCCTATGATGCCGGGTGTTGATGGCGCACACCTTTGATTCCAGCACTGGGGAGGCAGAGACAGGTGGATCTCTGTGAGTTCGAGACCAGCCTAGTCTACAAGAGCTAGTTCCAGGATAGCCTCCAAAGCCACAAAGAAACCCTGCCTCCAACCTCCCCCCCTCAAAAAAAAGCCTATAACATGTAAGTCTGTGTAAGCATATACATTTGGAGTATAAATGAAAATTTCCCAACTGAGCTAATGATGCTACACACAAGAGTCATAGCATTTTTTAACAAAACCACCAATGCCAGCTATCAGAAGCCTTCTTTGATGTTGTTGGTCACGGCTGTCCAAGAGACTTCCAATCATTATAGGCTACTGTCTTTGTCCATGTTGGCTTCTTCCTGGAGGTTGAAAGCAAGTCCCTATTGTTGAAGAAGCCAGCATTTCACACACCAATTCAAGAGGACTAGAGATGGATCTGATATTAAAGCCCCCTCACTGGGGACTCACATTCCTGGTTCTATAAGGCAACATGAAAGCTTCCAAAAGAGGGAGCCAGCCAATAGTCCTACCCATGTGTGACAGCTAAGAACCACAACAATGATTCTGCACTGTACAATTACCCCAAAAAGGATGCAAGACTGGTTGTAACATGAGCTTTTCTCTGGCCCAGCTAGGTCCAACTGCCATTCTCTGCCCCAAACAAACACGCAGACACTATATTAGTTATAAGCTGTTGACTGGTGACTTGGGCTTCTTATTCTTAACCCAAAATTACTAATCTATTGTAGGGAGCCGTCCCTGCATTCTCCATTACAAGATGGCGCCTGCATCCGGCAGGCACCGAATGTAAACAAGATTATTGCGCAGGCGCTGGGTAATTTTCCATTCCTTGATCTCTGCCTATTCCGTGGCGTCATATGGCCGGATGAGCTGCAGCCAATCATGGGGTGACACGTCCGAGGCGGCGGTTGCCAGCCTTTATTAGGGGACGGGATTCTTGGCTCGGGGTCTCCGCTCTGGGAAGCTTATGCTCTTTCACTCTCAAGATGCATTAAAGCTTGTCTGCAGAAGGATCCGAGTGTCCCATGTATGATTTCTTGCTGGCGAGAAATACAGAGCGCGCGGGACAATCTATGTATTTCCTCATGGCCTTATCTTACTGGAGAAAAGGTCTGGGCCCCTTACTTCATTGGGGCCTACATTGCTTCTGTTCAGCGTCTTCGCAAAGAGAGAGAGTGATTTCCTGCTTGTCCCTGACTGTATTCTGATTCTGCCTGCTACATCACTTCCTGCCTGGATCACATGGCGACTTCTCTTTACTACATTTCCAGAATCCTCCTTGACCCCTAATCCCACCTATCTTCCTTCTCCATTGGCCAACAATCTTTTATTCATCAACCAATAAGACAAACATATACATAGAAGAACATTCCTCATCAACTGGTTCACTGCTTTGGCGGTAACCAACAGCTTCCAATTGAACTGAAGACCCTCTCAATAACAGGAAAATCAAGTCTGGGACTGGAAACCTAACTAGTTCACCTAGTGTTAGTAAAATCAGGTATGTTGGAGGAAAGTCTACAACCAGTAATTACTAAATCAGCAAATCACTAATTGCATTCTAAATATTTTCCTTATTCCTATTGATAAATGTAGTCCTCATTCCACGTCAAGGAAAGTTCTTTTTGCAACACATGGAGATTATTACAGAAAACTACACTCAGTCCAAAATGTAGAGTTGTGATGCTCAGTCCCAGAAGCAACACAAGTTCTGTGTCTAAGGTTCAGGGATCACGAGCAAAGTGGGGCAGAAATAGTGTAACAGCCAGAGGAACAGGATATTTGCTGAGATTGTGTATCCTAGAAAGGTCAAAGAACCTACATGCAAGAAATTTTACAAACACGGTTGTCTAAACACGAGCCAGACAAGGACAACACCAAGAGAGACACTAACATGGAAGGCATAAAGCTCACTAGGCCTCAAACCTAATCAAACACTAAGGAATTCTGAGAGGTGGAGAAATTAAGTCTTCCCCTTGAAGAGTGCACCATATTGTTATCCAATATCAAACGCTCACCCTTGAAGACATATAGAATGAGTAAGCTTTATTTTTATGTTTAGGAATTCCCACAAACAATGAACAAAAAAGTTAAGAATAACAAATGAGCTGAGTGGTGGTCACACACTTTGATCTCAGCAATTGAGAGGCAGACGCAGGTGGATCTTTGAGTTTGAGGGCAGCTTGATCTCCAGAGTGAGTTTCAGGACAGTGAGTGCTAGGGAGAGAAACCCTGTCATGAAAAACAAAAACAAAAGAAAAAAAGAAAAAGGAGAAGGAACTAAAGAAAGGAGAAAAAATAATGTATGCCTGTGTAATGTCAAGATTTCAGATCATCTAGATAAAACAAAAAGGAGCAGGATGACTGTACAATACTTTCTATTGTTGCTAGACATGTAAGTACACTTAATAGGGTGTTAGAGAAATGGCTCAAAGGTTAAGAGCACCTGTAGATTTGAAGAGACTCGGGTTCCATTCCTAGGACACGGCATCTAACTGCCCACAACTACAATTCTAGAATGCACATGAATGCACGTGCAAGAATAAATTAAATAAACTATAGCAAATAAAATTCAGAGAAAGTTTAGATGACAGAGAGTGAGAGAGAGAAGAGAGAGGGGGAGGGGAAAGAAACAAAATAAAAATGAACTTCCTAAACAGATGAAAGGTCTACGATAAAGAATTGATGAAGGAACTAGAACCCAGAAATGGAAGGGGACATAATATTGAGAAGTATGTAGTATTTATGATAATGGTTTTATACAATTAGTTGAAACTCCATGACATTCAATTCCCTATGATGGTAGAGACATGCACAACTTACTGGGTACAGAGGAACCCTAAGAAAATGTTGCAATGCTCAAGCTACCCCATTGTGATTCCAGATCACCCCAATGCAATAGATCCAGAGACTGCCCAATAGCAACGACCATGTGAATGTCACCAAAATACCACAAAGCATGTTGCAGACTAGAATGCCTATACAAACAGTAGTGTTGGGTAACGTATCTACCCACGTATATAAAAACGTGATCCTGCTTCCAAGTCTCTCCTACCACACAATGAATCACAGACCTTCATGTACAATCTAAAACAGTGAATGCTGCAGAGTAATACAAAGGGGGAGAAACTGACAAACAGTACAGTGCAAAATAAAATATTCAGGGAAATAGTAATAAATGAAAGGATGAAAAGACAGCTTATTGGCAGATTCATTTATTAGCTATCTATTTATAATACAATGGACGGAAACCCAGAATACGGCCGGGCTTTGGTGGCTCACGCCTTTAATCCCAGCACTCGAGAGGCAGAGGCAGGTGGATCTCTGTGAGTTCGAGGCCAGCCTGGTCTCCAGAGCGAGTGCCAGGATAGGCTCCAAAGCTATACAGAGAAACCCTATCTCAAAAAGACCAAAAAAAAAAAAAAAGAAAAAAAGAAAAAAAGAAAACCCAGAATACATAAAAAACTGAGAAAGGAAGCAAATGATAATATGATCTACAAACAAATGAATTGAACATACCATACTCAACACTAGTTCTACATTGCAGGCTGCAGAACAATGTAAATCTAATACACAGAGATTCCAATTCGCTCTAGTCAGTGTCCACACTCAAGTCCCTAATAACAAATATATTTCCCTCAGTAATTTCTTGAAATATAAAGATAACATTCCATGAGTTAGCCATGTAAACACAACACATCGTCAAAAAAAGAAAAGCCGGGCGTTGGTGGCGCACGCCTTTAATCCCAACACTCGGGAGGCAGAGGCAGGCGGATCTCTGTGAGTTCGAGGCCAACCTGGTCTCCAGATCGAGTCCAGGATAGGCTCCAAAGCTACACAGAGAAAGCCTGTCTCAAAAAACCAAAAAAAAAAAAAAGGAAAGAAAGAAAAGTGAAAGCCAAGTTTAATATATTTTCTATCAATAATTCATTTCTTATCTAAAGATGCAACAGATTGAGAAAGGCAGAATTCAACAGTCAGTGAATTTTCTTCCATTCTTTTTTTTTTTTTTTTTTCCCGAGTGAGGGTTTCTCTGTGACTTTGGGGGCTGTCCTGGCACTCCCTCTTTTTGCCCAGGCTGGTCTTGAACTCACAGAGACCCCCCTGCCTCTGCCTCCCGAGTGCTGGGATTAAAGGCGTGAGCCGCCAACGCCCCGCAGAATGTCCCCTTTCTACAAACCTTTTCTTCACACCTATTACAGGTCTGCTACATTAGGATAATCAGATTTTTCTCCGTTGAAGTCTCTAGAATTCTAGTGAAAGAGAATGTGTCAAAACTGATTTCATGTCCCTATCCACCCTCACTTGGGGCCCTTCCACATCGTGACCAATCCCTCCACCATACCGGCATCCTTAGCTTCTGTCTCCTTCCTCTCCATCTTCCAGGCCCCTCTGTTCTGCTGCACAGGTGAGCAGGTCTGGGTGATCAGTGGGCCCTGAAAGCGAGAAAGAGAGTTTTCAGGAAACCCCTGGATTTCTAACAAAGTACTGCGTCCTGGAACTCACTATGCAGTCGAGGATGGCCTCTGTCTCACGGAGACTCCCTGCCTCTCTCTCTCAAGTGCTGGGATTAAATAAATACATGCATCGTCTCACTCGGCATTATTACGAACTTTTGCATGTTGAAAAAGATAAAGGTTTTTATTACGGCATTCTCCAAGGGCAGGAGATATGGCTTAGTGGTTAAGAGCAGTGGATGCTCTTCCAGAGGATGGGGTTCAAGTCCCAACACAGCTCACAATTTTCTGTTAATCCAGCTTCAGGGGACCTGATTCTCTCTTCTGGTCTCATGGATGCCCAGGCACCAGGCAGACATGCAGTGCACAGAAATGCCACCATACACATACAAAACTAAAATCTCCCGAGTTACATTTGCAAAAGTATATCTTAGTATAAACCCTGTGATATTTTTCTAGATTTAGACCTTCATTAAAGTCTCTTATCTTTATGTTTCTATTATGTACACTGTTGAGATTGGTAACCAGAGAATTCCAGACAACTGCTGTGTCACATTATTTACAATGGTATGTTTCTCTCCAGTGTGAATTTTCTGATGTGAGCTGAGGTAGGAGCACCTAGTAAGACTTGCACATTCCTTACTACTTTAACATCTCTCTCTCTCCCTCCCTCCCTCCCTCTCCCTCTGTCTGTCTCTCTCTCCTATGAACCCTCTATTGTGTTCTATGAATTATAGGTAAAGGTTTTGTCACATTCCCTATATCTGTAAATTTTCTTTCTTATATTCATTTTCTGATGTGTTCTAAGAGTTGAGTTCAGAGGAAAGGATTTGTCACATACCTCACATTTGTAAGGCTTCTCTCCAGTGTGAATTCTTTGATGTGCTTTAAGATTTGAGCATTGGGTAAAGGATTTATCACAAATGTTGCACTTGTACGGTTTCTTGCCTGTATGTATTTTGCTTGAGGCACTACTGAAGCATTTCTCAGACTGGTGTTGTTTCTGTCCAGTGTAGATTGGTTGTTGCAAAAGACTGTATACAAAGGTGAAACAGTCATCACATTCTCCCTGCCTGTGCTCTTTCTTTGCAGTGTAGACTCTCTGATCTTTAGTAATGTTGGAACACAAATTTAAAGATTTCTCACAGTCTATAGATCGGCAAGGTTCTTCTCCACTGTGCAGGCTTTCATGTCTCTCTGGGTTTGATGAGTCAACAGAGGCATCCCTGTGATTACTGCATGTGTAGTTATTGGAGTTTTCTGTAGTTTCACTTGTTCTATAAAGTGCACATGTGGAGGGGTCATGAAGCACTTTTCCAGGCTCATTACACTGACAAGACTCCTTTTCAGTCTTCACATGCTGATGGACAGGATCACACTTGTAATAGTTCTCTGAAAATGAGTACACTTCAGATTAGTAGGACATGTTCTAAGACTAAATATTTAATAAATGACTCCCTGCCTTAGTTCTCTCTTTAACATAAGTCAACCATCAACCACTTTGTTTTGGGGGGGGGTTATGGTTTTTTGTTGTTGTTTTTGGTTTTTTGAGACAGGGTTTCTCTGTACAGCTTTGGAGCCTATCCTGGCACTCCCTCTGGAGACCAGTCTGGCCTCGAACTCACAGAGATTTGCTTGCCTCTGCCTCCCGAGTACTGGGATTAAAGGCGTGTGCCACCAACACCTGGCACCATCAACTAATTTGAATAGAGCTTGCAGTAGTGGACCTCATTCTTTCATTATAATTTATTTGGATTTTCACCTTCAAGTAACTTCAAACAAATTATTGACGAACCAGTAAATAGCCTTGGAATGGAGCTCACTGACTGATCATATTTAGAATACATGTCTTCATTTTTTTTAAACATTTTATTTATTTATTATGTATACAACATTCTGCTTCCATGTATATCTGCATACCAGAAGAGGGCACCAGATCTCATAACAGATGGTTGTGAGCCACCATGTGGTTGCTGGGAATTGAACTCAGGATCTCTCGAAGAGCAGTCTGTACTCTTAACCTCTGAGCCATCTCTCCAGGCCCCATGTCTTCATTTTTAAACACTTCTTTTTCTCAGAAATTGTTAAAGAAGAGTATAATCCAATGCCAGGTTCACAGTCTTTGAAATTACTAATAATGAACAGCAATGATGATTATAGTTCAGAAGTCCCAATGCCTCTAAAGATTAAAAGCTTTTTTTTTTCCCCCAAAGAACTTCAAAAGTAATGGATGCAAAGCAAATATTACATCAGAGGCTCTAGAGATGAATGGTTCTCAAACTGTGGGTGGTGACCATCTGAAAACATATTTCCGATGATCTTAGGAACTGAGACATCACTTAGTAGCAATATTACAGGGAAGAAGTAGCACCCAAAATAATTTTATGGTTTGGGTTCACCACAACATAAGAAAGTGAGCTAAAGGGATTAAAGGGTGGTAACATTACCAACCCTGACAACCGCTGCTCTAGACAGTTTGAGGCAGGAGGGCTATCGCAGAAAGCCATTGCTTATTTCTATCCACCACTGACATACATGCAAGGAAGGTAATTACAAAATAATCCTATTTCATGGTTTCACATTAGGCTTATAATTTGTCAAGTTATTCCACTCTAATGTCAGCATACTCAAATAAAATTAAATTTTGAGCAAGTACTGTCACCATAATTCAGGTGCAATAAAGCACAACATCTAACATTTCCAACACACCACATGCATCCTGGGGCCATGACACTACACTAACTTAAATGATCAGGAATCCTTTCAAGTAGAATTAAATAATGCAAAAATATTCTCAGCTCTGGCTTTCTCTTTCACTTGAAGACATCAATGTTGTCTTGTTCATTCACTGTCCTACCCTGGTTGTGGCTCCTCTCCATATTCAGGGCAATCTCATTCTCTCCAGACAGATGACCAGGCCCACCTTGCATACAATAACCCATGTGTTCTGTGAGGTAGCCCATGACCCATGCTAGAATTTTCAGAAAGAATACAGACATCTAAAACTCTTCTCACAATTAAAATAATGTCAAGTGTAAGCATGAACAATGCACTTTAAAATATAGATGGAAATATTATATGCTACTAAATTTCTGAATGCCTCATAGAACTAAAAATGAAGGATGCATGATATCTCTAAAATGAAAAAGGTAAAAAAAAATAAGCAAAAACAAACAAACAACAACAACAACAAAACTAAAACAAATACCAAATACCAAGGAAAAGTTATTTTCTACTACCGAGGATTCCCTAGTCTCCTGTTGTTTTTCCTGACAGTCTAACAGAGAGTTCACAATGTATAGAGTCAGTACATACAAAGCCTGAGTTAGAAATTTTACAAAGTGTTCTCACCCACAGAGAGCAGGTTGCTGTAATTCTCCAATATCACATCAATGTACAAAGCCCTCTGAGCACAGTCCAGGCATTCCCACTCGTCTTTCGTGAAGTAAACAGTCACATCACTGAATGTCAGCAAACCCTGAAACAAAAAGTACAGTTTGACCACATGATAGCTGAAAGACTTAAAAATTAGCAAAGAAATAAAATAAAGCCCAGATAAGGAAACTCCCCAAACGGAATGTAGGGCAGCCTGACCCAGAAACTGACCAAGGCCACTATGACTTAGTGCCTGGAATTTACCAGCCGCCAGCAATTACTCCCTTACAAGGCCATAAGATAACTGGATACCAAGAATTTCCAGATGGCCACCCTCCCCCGAGGGGCTCATGAAGGAAACAAATTGCCTCATCGGCCAATGTGTCAACAGTTAACAAATAGGGTCCTTATGACACAAAGAGATAGCTACAACTACCGTTTGCTTAGGCAAGATTGATTAGCACATCCTGAGGTCTGTTGTCCCAACCGGTGAGTTAGGAGACCATCTGGCCCCAAAGATAAAAAGCCTCCTGGGAACCCGTGACTCTGGTTACGCACCCAACAGTCAAGGGGTCACCACCGGCCCCTTCCCTAAAGTTTATGGTTTTTTGCCTTTAAAAATGCCTGTGCCTGGAGAATAGGGCCTCTCTCTAGCTTGCATACTGAGAGGGCCCATTTGTACAAATGCTTCCGTTCATTAAAGCCTCTTGCTCATTGCATCAACTGGACTGGACATTGAGTTCTTGGGGACCGGCAGGATTGAGGAGACTCCTCACCTCGAGGGTCTTTCAAGCAGGCAGAGTGCTTTCTGGATATAAGGAGACTTAAGGAAATTAGGGATGTAGATGAGCAAAGAAAATTACTCAAAAAGATAATTTCTAATACAGTCAGACTCTATAATCAATGTTTTAAATCTGAAGGTTTTTTGTTCATTTGGTGATTAACAGTTTTAATTCACTGAGAATTACAGAAATTAAATTACAAGGAAATTAAACTGCTAATCACCAAATGGGAAAATGAATTGAATAGACACTTTTCAAAGACAGAAACACAAATAACCAAGGAATATGGCAAAAAGTGTTCAAGATCCCTAAAATTCCACCAGAGAAATGCAAACTAAACCTACTTTGACATACTGCCCCCTCAGGCAGAATGGCTGTCCCCAATTAACCTGAAACAAATGTTAGCGAGAATGGAGAGAAAGATACCCTTATTTCATTTCACAGTTAGTGTGTGAAATTAATTAATACACTCAAATGGAAATCAGTTTGAAGATTATTAAACAATTAAAGATAGAACTAATGTATGATCCAGCTATTTGACTCCTGGCTATTTACCCAAGGAACTCCACAGCCCACTATAGAGATATTTATACCCAATCTTTAGGGCTACCAGAAAGTGGGTGACTTGAGGATCTTTTTGTGACTGGATACCTTTCAGCACTTCTTCTTCTTCTTCTTCTTCTTCTTTCTTCTTCTTTTTTTTTTTGTTTTGTTTTTCAAGAGAGGGTTTCTCTGTGGCTTTGGAGGCTGTCCAGGCTGGTTTCAAACTCACAGAGATCCGTCTGACTCTGCCTCCTGAGTGCTGGGATTAAAGGCATGCGCCACCAACTCCCGGCTCCTTATTTACTGCTTCTTATTTACCAAAGCAAGACATTGGGATCAACTTAATTGTCTATCCACACACAAATGGATAATGGAAATGGTTGAATTTGGAATGTATAATAGTTATTGAGGTCCTATAGCATCAGAAAGAAGAAATCACATTTTCCCTCATGTGCAGTATCTAGCCACTGTTGCATTCATAGAAGCAGTGTACATGTGGGCACAGCAGAACATGGAGAAAAGAGAACTAGAGAGGGTAAATACTGAAAGATTTTAGTTTGATGAGAGAAAAAGTTTTGAAAGATTTCATTTCACAGAGAGAAAAAGTTTCCCACAGGCCTTGGCCCAGGACAAGGAAGTTAGCCCCAACACGAGGGCAGACAAACAATTCTTTTTGGGTCACACCTGGCTGGCCAACAGACAATCAGGGACTTTTCAGGGTACGTTCTGTGGGTTTTCCTTTGTAGAAAAGCAGGTCACACCTGGGTGCACTCTAACATGAGATCATACTTTGTAGTCAATCACTTTATGCCCCTTGCCTGTATGCTGATCTGCGGTTTTTTCCTATATAAGGAGCTTGCACCCCATGCTGGGGTGTGCAGCTTTCCCGGTATTGCTGACACCCGAATGCACATTTGTTCAATAAACTCTCTTGCTTTTGCAGCTCTTGGTCTGGTTTCTGGTTCTCGGAGGCTCCTCGGGATCTCTTTCAATACCAGGGTTGAGGTGGACTGAATACAGGCAATGAACACCAGTTATGAAAAAGGCTACAAAGCTAAGCCCTTCTCTAGCTCTATTCTGTCGCACATTTTTTGGTTGTTGGTGGTAGCTAAGTATGTCAAAATATATTTGATATTAAAACTACAAAATGCCATGGGACGCACCAGAGCTTCTTTTTCCAATGACAACTCTTCACAATATAAAATACATTGAGTTGCATAGTCTTTGGGTCTGGTTAATTTGAGCATGTGAATTTAGTGTTGTTTGTTTGCAATGTTATTTGTAAGAAAGTTAAAAAAAAGATCAGAAGCAGAAAATTAAATGCTTTCAATATCTCAAACTATAACATTTCCATTAAAAAGGGGGACTTGACGACTGACCTGGGGCATGTTTACTGGTGCATCAGCCATTTCCTTCTGTTTTTCTTCTTTGAGTTTCTTTCAGGAACAAGGAATAGATGGCTTGTTGTCCTTTTATATTAAGGGGTCAAAAAGAAAAAGAAAATTAATGTTGAGAGCTGTTAGAAAACAATGAAAAGACTCAAGCAATAGAATATGACCAGGTGTCCAGGCAAATTTAAATGGAATGACATCTAAAGACGCTTGTAGAGAAAATCACCCTTAGCAACAACAACAACAACAAAAATTGTTGCACAAAGAAAAATTCTATCTTAAAATCGATGGAGACATGAGTGCATTTTAAGACAGTCATGAATTAACACAATTGATCTCACTAAAGCAGCACTGCAGATAATAAAGTAGAGGTTAAACATACACAGGAGAGTCAGAGGAATCATCCATGAGCACATGGGAAATAATAAATGCCACGCGAAGAATAGATAAATACAGGAGAACTGGGTAGAAATCATCCATAAGCAAGATGTTCTCACAGCAAATTACTGGTTCTCACAGAGAAGGAAGAAAATTACTACCAATAACCGAAGCAGCAACTACATAAAAAAAAAAAAAAGAAGAAGAAGCATAGGTAATAAAAACCCTATGAACAACAATTTTAGGCACTCTGGAAATCAGTTTGGAGAATCTTCCATTAAGTAAACAGATTCCCTATTGAAATAAATCTAGCACATGACCCAGCTGTTCCACTCCTTGGCATATGCTCAAAGGACTCTATATCCTGCTCCCCAGATACCTGCTCAGCCATGGTCATTGCTGCTTCCTTCACAATAGCTACAACAGGGAGACAACCTAAATGTCCTTCAGCTGACAAACGGATAGTGAAGATGTCTTACATACAAACTATGGAATATGATTCAGCTGTGATGAAAATTGAAATCATGAGCTTTGCAAGCAAATGGATGGATGGAGATAAGAACATCTAAGTGGAATAACCAAGATCCAGAAAGGCAAACATTGCATGTTCTCTCTCATATGAAGTTCCAGCTCCAAATCTTCAGATGTGAGTTTATAGAGCCTCGAGTAACTGCAGTAACCAGAAAACTGCAAAGGCATCACTGTGGGGTGTGGACGAATAAACAAGGGATTCGCAGGGAACCTGTCATCTAAATGGGGAAATGGAAACACGGTGAAGGGATTTAATTATCGAAAGACACAAATATAATCAGAGAAGAAGGAGGGTATAATAACAGTAAGAACATCTCAAAATGTCAATCACACCATTATCATCTGAAAAAAAGTTTATAATACTTATCTGTGCACATAGATACATTTAGAATGAACATTAAAACTTCCTAACTGGGGCTGGAGAGATGTCGCAGCGGTTAAGAGCACTGGCTGCTCTTCCAAAGGGTCCGGGTTCAATTCCCAGCGCCCACATGGTGTCTCACAATCATCTATAATGGAATCTGGTTCCCTCTTCTGGTGTGCAGATATACATGGACGCAGAATTTTGTATACATAATAAATAAATAAAATCTTTAAAAAAAAAAAAAAAGAGGAAGAAGGGATTGACATGTGAAACAAGCTTGTTCCTAATTTGAACTAATGAAAGAAAAAGAGAAAAAAAAACCTTCCTATCTGGTCTGATGATGCCTCTCAGAAAAGCCATAGATTTCCCAACAAAACCACCAGGATCAGGCATGAGAGGCCTGCTTTCAAGTTGTTGGTCACTGCTTCTCAACAGACTCCCAGATCATGATAGCTATTGCTGTTGTCCATGGTTTCCTCCCAAGGTAGAAGATGAGTCCCTATTGTTGAAGAAGCCACAAACATTGAACAAAGCAACCAGAGGACCCGAGATAGTTATGTCCCTAAAACCTCCTCACCGGGGACTAGCTTTCATGGTACTACAAGGCAACATGCAAGTAAAGTTTCTAAAGGAGGAAGCCAACCAAGAGTCCTACCCAGCTATGACAACTTATTGTAGGGTAAAAGGGCCAGCCAAAGAAACCCACTCTAGGGCTGGAGAGATGGCTCAGAGGTTAAGAGCACGGACTGCTCTTCCAGAGGTCCTGAGTTCAAAATTCCCAGTAACCACATGGTGGCTCACAACCATCTGTTATGAGATCTGGTGCCCTCTTCTGGTGTGCAGATATACATGGAAACAGAATGTTGTATACATAGTAAATAAATAAAATCTTTAAAGAAAGAAAGAAAGGAGGAAAGAAAGAAAGAAAGGAGGAAAGAAAGAAAGAAAGAAAGAAAGAAAGAAAGAAAGAAAGAAAGAAAGAAAGAAACCCACTCTAGCCCTGAAACCAGCGATAGTGAAAGAAACACACCCTGGATCTGAACCCTAAGCCAGTGAAAGAAACACATTAGTCCTGAACCCAGAAATAAAAACACACTGACTCTGAAACCAGAGCCAAACAAAGAAATATGCCTTGACCCCAAATCTAGAAACACAGTTTGACCCTGAAATCAGAGCCAACTCTGTTCTTGACCAGCTAAAATAACCAATCCCTGAGCATGAAAATGACCCAATCCCTGAAGAAAAACAATTCTCCCTGGGAAATCTCTGAATTCTCCCTGGAAATCTCTGACCTTAAGAAGCCCTATATCAGTCCCCCTAGTCCAGCTAGGTACTGGGAACCAACAGTTTCCCTAGGGTTAGTGAAGTCAGGGATGTGGATTAGAACCTACTTTTCTAAATCAGCAGAATCCCTAACTGTATTCTAAATATTTTCGTTATTCCCAGAGATAAAGGTAGTCTTCACCCCTCATCAAGGAAAGTTATTTTTGCAACACATGGAGTTTATTACAGAAAACTCCAATCAGTCAAAATGCAGACTTGTGATGCTCAGTCCCCACCGACACAGCAGCAACACAACCTCTTCACCTAAGGTTAAGGGAGCACTGAGAAACAGGGGCAGGAAGCGTAACATGAGTTTTCTTTGGCTCGGCTAGGTCCCACTGCCCTTCTCTGTCCCAAAGAAACATGCAGACTCTATATTAGTTATAAGCTGTTGGCTGGTGAATTGGGTTTCTTATTCTTGACCCATAATTAGTAATCTATGCATTTCCTCGTGGTCTTATCTTACTGGAGAAAAGGCCCCAGCCCCTTACTCCATTGGGGGTCTACATTGAGTCTCTTCAGCGTCTCCACAGAGAAGAGAGAGAGCAATTTCCTGTTTGTCCCTGCTTATATTCTGATTCTGCTATGTAACTTCCTGCCTTGTCAATCAGCCAATCGGTGTTTTATTCATTAACCAATAACAGAAACATATACTCAGAAAGACTTCCCCCACCAAGGAATAGTGTAATAGCATGAGGAACAGGATGTTTGCTGTGAAAATAGTGTATCCTTGAAATGTCAGAGAAGCTACATGTATGAAATCTTACAAACATGGCTGCCTAAACATGAGCTGAACAAGGACACCACCAAGAAATTCGATAACATGGAAGAGAAAAAGATCACTAGGTTTCAACCCTGGTCAAACACTAAGGAATTCTGAGAGCTGGAGAAATAGTCTTCCCCAAAGAGTGCATCTTAGGGTTATCCAATATCAAATGTTCATCCCTGAAAACATACAGAGTGAATAGGTTGTTTTATGTTTAGGAATATACAAAACATACAACAACAATGAAAAAATGTTATTAAGAAAATGTTTGGCCGGATGTTGGTGGTCCACGCATTTAATCCCAGCACTCGGGAGGCAGAGGCAGGAGGATCTCTGGGAGTTCGAGGCCAGCCTGGTCTCCAGAGCGAGTGCCAGGATAGGCTCCAAAGGTACACAGAGAAACCCTGTCTCAAAAAACAAAAACAAACAAAAACAAAAACAAAAACAAAAAAAAAGAAAAGAAAATGTTTGGGGCTGGAGAGTTGGCTCAGTGGTTAAGAGCAGTGGCTGCTCTTCCAGAGGACCCTGGTTCAATTCCCAGCACCCACATGGCATCTCACAACTGTCTGTAACTCCAGTTTCAGGGGACGCAACACCTTTACACAAACATGAAGGCAACACACACACACACACACACACAAAATGTTCATGAAATAAAAATAAATAAATTATATATAAAAAGAGAGAACATACATGTGTGAAAAAAGAAAATGTTTTTATCCATTAAATAAATAAATCTAAATTTTAAAAATGAATAGTTAATATTAGTCAGTAAAGAGAGAGAAAACAAAATAAAACCTCCTTGAATCAACTAGCCAAGCAATAAAAGGTACCTACAATGAAAACTTTGATTTGCTGAAGGAACTGAAGATACTAACTAGAACATGGGAAGATGATTTACACAGATGGAAGCGGACATAACATTTAAATTTGCAGTATTTCCGGAAGTGGTTTTTATGACATTTGAACTTCCCACAATGTACTTCAGAGAACTAGTAAAGAGAAACCTAGACGTTGTATTAATGCACAAAATCCCAGGGTGCAGAGCAGCCCTCGGAAAATGGTACAATGCCTGAGATACGCCAGTATGATTCCAGACGACACTGAAGAGCCACTCCAATAACAGCATCATGGGAGTGGAGAAGACAAAAGCCCAAATTACTATAGCATTAGATCCACAACCTGTCCAATAGCAATGACCCTGTCAATGTCACCTAAGTGCCACAGATATGTGTTGTAGACTAGATAACCTCTAGTCAAACAGTGGTATTATGAAAAGTGCCTTTCCACATAAGAACACATAACCTGGGATCAAACCACTCCTACTGCACAAGGAATCACTGACCTTCAAGTATGATCTGAAACTGTGAATCCTGCAGAGCAACACAAAGGAGCAACACTTGATACAAGAGCAGGAACGGATGAATAGTACTGTGTAAAACTAAATACGTTCAGGGAAAGGGCTGTAATTAAAAGTATAAAGAGACGGCATACATAGCAGGTGCATCTATTAGCTATCTATAGTACAGTAGATAAAAACCCAGAATCTATCAAAAAATACAAAGGAAGCAACTGATAATATAATCAGTAAGTAAGCAGATGACTTGAACACGGCAAGCTCAACAGCAGTTAAAA